GGAACTTCTGTTTTCTGATGTGGATTTCATCCCTCTGGTCTCTGGTAATCAACATCCTGTAGCTTATAGTTTTCCATAAACAAACAGGTAATTATGTCTCTTATCCAAGTAATAACTAGAGAATAAGTAACCATTTTTAGTACATTATAAACATCATTTGAACAATTGTGCCCTAGCCCAAGAAAATTCTATTCCAGATCCATTTTTATATCTCCTTCTTTGTTCTCTCATTCAAATTTGTAGACAAGTGCTTTTATTTTTCACATATAGGGAAATTTAAAATCAGAATTATCTTATAAAATGTAATGAAAGAGAAAACTTCTGAGTAAGATAGCAAACTGGAAGTTTCCATCTTCTGTGAATCAAATAAGAAAAATATACACTCTATTCCAAAGGAAGAGAGGAGGAGCTCTGAAAAATCTCCTAGGATGAGGTATTGATATAGAGCATGGCAGAACAGAGCACAGAAAGCAACAGGTGGCTATTGGAATAAAAGTCAACCCAAGCAGATCCAGTTGTGTAGCTCTGTGGTGTCAGGAGGAGACACAAAGAACCTCCACAAAGTAAGAAAAGGGACCCTGATGCAAAAGGACTGAGAGTCCACCTTCAGGACAAGCCCATTCTCTTCACAATCCTCAAAACAAATAACACATTTCAGCAAGGTTGTGATTCCTTTACTATACAGCTTGTCTATGAAGAGGAATCACATTCTGCCGTTCTGTATGGCTGAGAGGACAGGGGTCAGGTGCCTTCTGGAGAAAGAACTTTTTCTTTGAACTCAACTGTGCTGGAAGCCTGAGACAATCACAAGACAAGATGTCTGGATTCAATCTGCTACAGCCCTAGGTTGAAATAGAGAACTGGAGGCAGCTGTGTAAAACAGGAGGTCCAAACACTGACAACCCAAAATGCGCAAGTGGCAAGAGACTTGTCTCAGGAAGGAAGGGTTGAAGGAATGGTAGGCCTACCAGATTGCGGGGAGAAGAATCTGCATCTGATAATGACCCTGATGTTTGATGTCCTAGAGCCTGAGTTCACTGGGTGGCCACACTCTGGAGCCACCTCCTGCAGCTCACTGCTCTGGAGCCTGGAAACTCTGAAGTGCCACGAATTCCCTTGGTATCTACAACTACTTGCCCACAGCAGGAGGGTCTGGTGAGTGGTGATCTAAATACTATGGTTGCATCTTCGACTCTGGAGCAACTGGGAGACACCCACTCACTAAAATATTAGCCAATGCAGGGAGTATGAGCAAGGAAGTCTGGGAAGTGAGAGAACCTGCCTAGCCCGCAGGCTGCAAGGCTAAGTCGGGCCAGCAGAGGGCTGTAGTAGGCAAGGAAGGGGAAACCAGCAAAGTGACAACAGATAACAGGGACTATCGCATTGTCTAATACAGACTCTCAGGTCCAGGCTAAACCATAGTAAAGACAAACGTCCACAAATACAACTGCACCCTGTCCTGTGCCTGTAACTAGCTGTCACCATTTTTTTTAGAACCCAAATCTAAAAAGAAGCTGCTCAAATATTTCAATGTTATTTTAGCCTCTTGTATTTCCTTGTTTTTCCATTTCATCACACTTTTGTACTATTTTTACTTTATAATGTTTAAAAATATGTCTTTATATTTTATATAAAATAGAATATAAGGTTACATAACCCCAGTGGATGGACTTGTGCCGAGGAAGGTCTGGGGACACTGACTTGACAGAGTGGGCCTCAACACAGATCACAGATTATACGGGTTCCAGTGGTGGTGGTGGGGTGTATGGGAGGGTGCCGGTGGTGACAGGGCATAAAGATGATTAAGATGGTTTGAGATGTTCTGTATGCAATACACAAAATTCAATAAAAAGAAATTTTTAAAAATGTCTACATTTTTAGTCCCTTTTATACATTCATCTAATTTGGTTTACATATTTAGAAAAAACTTGGTGATTCCCCCCTTTTATTTTTGTACAGTTTTCTTTAGTGCTCCTAAAACTGTTTTCACATCCGACTGCATTTTTAGTACTATTTCTGTTGTTTGAAAGTGTTTTTATTTTTCATTTGCTTTCTTCCATTTATCTAATTTTGTTTTCAAATCTTTTCAATATCAGAAACTTTTATTTTTTTTTTTTGGTCTTTCCTAATCTTATGCTCTCTTTTTAGTCTTCATTATGTTTCTTTCCACTACTTTTCTTTTAATTCTTTTATTATTTAATTCTATGGACCCTTGGTTTTCCCCTTCCCTGACTCTTTTATCTCATCAACTTACCATTTTCACATTATCACTAGAAAACTGAACTTCACAGCATATCTTAGATTAATTTTCCCATTTTTCTAGTTCATGATAATTGTTGATAAATCAGTGAACTTTAAGAGGTTTTAAATGCTGGGTGTCATGGCATGAGCCTTCCCAGCCCTTGGGAGGTAGAGGCAGGCAGATCTCTATGAGATCAAGGCCAGCCTGGTCCACGTAGTGACTTCCAGGCCTGGGACTGGAGAGATTCTGAAAACAAACAAGCAAAGCAAAACAGAACCCAAAACCCAAATGAGAGAGAGAGAGAGAGAGAGAGAGAGAGAGAGAGAGAGAGAGAAAACCATACCTTGGACAATGTGACTTTTTGCCCTTATAACAGGTTTTCTGTCTTCTTGTTCTTTTCTTGTTATTGGAAGGAACTAAGCCCTCAAAGTAAATTGCTCAGTAAGATTATCCTCAAGTTAGCCTGGCAGACATACCCAAATAGATGCACAAATAACATTATGGGGTTGCAAAAAACAATGGAAAAAACCAAGGCATCATAACTCCTCCAAAAGGCCACATTTTCTCAGTTATTGAATTCAAGATATCTAAATATTGAACTTCTGGATGAAGATTTCAAAATTAAAGTGAGGTAAATGATCAGTAACCTGAAAGAATTCAACTAAGCACAGGAATTAAATCAGAGAGAGGAAAGGTAGAGACATAAAGGAAGAAGTCAGCAAAGTCAAGAAAACCAGCCGTATGTAAAGTCAGCAACATGGAGGAGACGTCCAAGGAAATTTACATTTTAATAAAAAATGAAACTAATAGATTTTTTGTAAATGTTTGTTTCCCTGAGAAAAAATAAAAATACACCATGAGACATCATTAATAGACTTCCCCAAGAAGAAAATATGTCAAGGATAGGTTTAAAGGCAGTGTTAAACACAAAGAGATGTAAGGAAAATACAGTGAGAGATCATGACCACAGCACTCAGAACTCTGATACAGCATCAGAATGACCTATAAATCCACAGGAAAGAAGGGCCAGACATAACAACTGATTGCATAGAGAATCTGTTCAATAAAGTTATAGCAGAAATGTTTCCAAATCTAAACAAAGGAGTAACGAATAGAATTGGAGAGGTGTTTACGACTCCAAAACAGACATTATGAGAGAATAACCTCTCCATGATATACACTGCTGAAGAGGCCAAAAGACAAAGAAAGAAAGAATTAAAAACTGTCAGGGAACGCTCTGGAAAGATGGTTCAACAGATAAGAGCACTGGCTGCTCTTGCAAAGGACCTTGGTTTGATTCCCAGCACCCATTCGGTGGCTAACAACCATCTGTAACTCCAGTTCCAGGGGATCTAACACCCTTTTCTTTCCCCCATGGGCATTACATGACATGGGTGCACTTACATACACGAAGGCAATACACTCATACGCATAAAACAAAAATAATAAAGAAAATACATTCTTTAGGGGCTGAAGAGATAGTGTAGCAGTTAAAAACATTGACTGTTCTTGCAGAAGACCTGGGTTCAAATCCCAGAACCCACATAACCACTAACAACTTTCTGTAACTCCAGTGACAGTCTCTTCTGTCCGCCACGGGTATTGCATGACACAGGTGCACTTACCTACATACAGGCAATACGCGCATACACATAAAATTAAAAAAATAAACAAAATAGTTTTTAAAATTAAAAAAAAGAAAAGATATTTTTTAAAATAGTCTGCTGGGAAAATATTGAATCATCAATACTGAAAAATATTGAATCATCAACAATGGCAACCACATCATAATGATAACTGATGTGTCATCAGCAGTCCTAAAAGTCGTGAAAGCATAGAACAATATATTTCAGATCCCAGAAGTAACTACCAAGCAAGGTCAAAAATATTCAGCACAGCTCTATTTCAAAATTGACAGTGAAATAAGAACATTTCAAGACATAGGGAAACCGGCAATTTGTAATGTTCAAGGAAACACTGCAAAAGATAATGAAAGGATTATTATATCTGCATGCAGAAGAAAGACATTGTTAGTCATAAGAACACAGGAAAGAATAAATTTCATTGGAGGACTAAAGGAACAATGAGCTAGGTAACTGCGTGTGTTATTTTTCCAGTACTATTACAAAACGCCATGACCAAGGCCACTTAGAGAAAGACGTTTATAAGACTCACAGTTGCAGAGGGATGAAAATAAACTTTGTCTCTAGATCAGGCATAAAATGGAAAATGTACAAAGGAACTTCAAAATTAACCCACACTATTGATCAGTTAGAATTAACAAATGTTTTCAGAATACTCTATCCAACAGAATCAGAATACAAATTCTTCTGAGTGCCCCATGTAACCTTCTGAAAATTACAGTACCTTCTATGTCATATAGTAATTCTTAACATACACAGAATAATTGGTTATTTCTTAAAAGTCATTTTCTTGGCTTCCACAGTATGGCCGGCAACATTAGCTGGCGCTCACTGAACTCTAACTGGAAAGGAGCCGACTATAAGAGACTGAACTGTATTTGCCTCTATTTCCAACAGACTCACGTTCAACTTTTCCTCACAAAAATAGCAGGGAAATTTTTATTAGTCTTTTTTAAAAAAAAATTTAATATGAAAATATAGCAAAAAAAAAAAAAAAGAACCTAAACTTTAGTAACACAGATGGAACAATCCGCAGCAGCGGCAGGAGCGGTGGGAGAAGAGATTTAATTTAGTTGATTTTCTGTGGTTGTTGGTTGTTCGCTAGTTTCATGGTGATGGAAGCTGCACATTTTTTCGAAGGAACTGAGAAGCTACTGGAGGTCTGGTTCTCCAGGCAGGAGTCCAACGCAAGCCAGGGATCTGGGGATCTGCGCCCTATCCTGAGATGGGAGTGGGATGTCCTTTTGAAGGATGGGCAATATTCAATCATAAGTGTGACAAAAACTGACTAGCAGGAGGCTTATGTATTCAATGAGAGTAGTATGTTTGTCTCCAAGAGACGTTTCATTTTGAAGACGTGGCACCACCCTCTTACTGAAAGCACTGGTTCCCCTCTTGAAGTTTGCTAGGGATTACAGTGGGTTTGACTCAATTCAAAGCTTCTTTTATTCGTGTAAGAATTTCATGAAGCCTTCTCACCAAGGGTACCCACACCGGAATTTCCAGGAAGAAACAGAGTTTCTTAATGCAGTTTTCCCAAATGGAGCAGCATATTGTATGGGATGTATGAATTCTGGCTGTTGGTACTTGTATAATACTTGGGATTTCCCAGAAAGCCGAGTAACCAATCAGCCAGATCAAACCCTGGAAATTCTGATGAGTGAGCTTGACTCAGCAGTTATGGACCATTTCTACATGAAAGATGGTGTTACTGAAAAGGATGTCACTCGTGAGAGTGGAATTCGTGACCTGATGCCAGGTTCTGTCATTGATGTCACACTGTTCAATCCTTGTGGCTACTGGATGAATGGAATGAAATCGGATGGAACTTATTGGACTATTCACATCACTCCAGAACCAGAATTTTCTTATGCTAGCTTTGAAACAAGCCTAAGTCAGACCTCCTATGATGATCTGATCAGGAAAGTTGTGAAAGTCTTCAAGCCAGGAAAATTTGTGACCATCTTATCTGTTAACGAGAGTTCTAAGTGCTTTCACGCAGTGCTTTCTTCACCCCAGAAGATTGAGGGTTTTAAATGTCTTCATTGCCAGAGCACTATGTTCAATGATTACAATTTTGTTGTTGCTAGTTTTGCTAAGAAGCAGCAACAGTAGCAGAGTTAAGAAAAATAAAGAAGAAAAAATGCAAAAGGAGAAGAAAAAATGCATAGAAGGTGGTGGCAGTGGCTGCTTTCTAGATGTTGATACTGAGGTCCGTGCTTTCCATGACTACCATCCCGTAGTGCAGAAAGCCCTACGTGTAATGATAGTGTGATCATTTTGAAGTATATGCATTATTATATCAAGGAGTTAGATATCTTGCATGAATGCTCTCTTCTGTGTTTAGGTATTCTTTTCCACCCTTGCTAAGAAATTGAAGTGCGTGTAGAAAAAAAAAAAAAGAAAACTTTTCCCACGTGAAACTTTACAACTCTTGTGAAAACAATTTGATTTATGCACAGTATAATATTTCTGCAATTATCATCCAAAATTCCCCACAGACAAGGCTTTCATTCTCATTAGATGTTGGCCTCAGCTAACCATCTGGGACCATAAATTTAATTTAATTCAATTAAATTGCTGCCAGAATTTTATGTCCAGTTACCTCCACTTTCTAGAACATATCATCTACTAATGTTAATAAAATCAAATTTTTACTACATACAGGTGTTTTTTACAATGACAATTAAAGTTTTTCTTCAACATGTTCAGTCCTCAAAAGAAAAAAAAGTCATTTTCTTTGTCACTTCCCTAGACAAATGTGATGTTTTATTATGTACAAAATATAGATCCTTATATTTGTAGACAAGTATCCCAATAACTACTCATCCAAGAAGCTTCTTTTGCAACAGAAAGGGACTACCACAGATTTCTATAGCTGGTCACACATAGACATTGTGTGTGAACTGCCCAACCCTAAGTGATACATCTACAATGGAACCTCTGCACCTGACTCATGGTACATAGCAGAACAAAGAATAGAGGAAATACTAGTGCACCTCTCAACTCTCATCAATGAAGCTCTCTCATGCAACAGAGGACTGTAAACACAAAAATATACAAATGGCTAAACTGGAGAGAATAAAAATCTGCAGAGTGTGGGTCTTTGGACAGGACTCCTATGTTAAAATTCCCCCACCCAGGGCTCAGGGAGAGAAACATTGTAAGAGCCAATGAGGTGGTACATGATCATATGGAAATAGAGTCTCTTATAGGCTCAGGGGTTGTTGCTCATGCTACAGTCATGGCGTCAGCATGCACAAGACCCATGGAAAATCCAGCAGACAAAAATCCAGCATAGAACTGTGGAAATGAGCAGCAGGCCCCAATCTTAGCCAAAGAACTATTGGCAACTCATTACTGCTGGGTGAGGAAGAGCTGATCTTCTTAAACGGAGGGGCCCTAGATAGGCTTATCAGTCAGTGGATGAACTTGCACTGAGAGGAAACAGGGGACACTTATTTGGCTCAATAGGCCTAACACAATTGAAAGAATGCACGGAACCCAGTGGGGGGTCTAAGGGTGGGTATCAATGGAGTAGGGGATATAAAGCAATTAAGGTGTTCTGTATGAAGTATGTAAAAATTCAACTAAAAATTAACAAAAAATTTAAAAAAGGAACAGTAGTGAATATGGACATTTGCCTTCAGAAATTATGAAAAATAAAGAAATGAATAAACCAACATACAATTCTGGTTTACCTGAAAGAATTCTGGGGAACTAAGAAAGTCACATAACCACACTGTGACAAAGTATATGAGTAAAGCTTGAAACAATGGCATGAATTTCTTTGGTAAAGAAATTTAAAACAAAGACAAGTCACATACTTTTTCTGTAAACAAAAGAGCTTGTTCAGAAGTCACCAGTGCAGTATACAAAACCACATGCAATAAATTTTATATGAAACGCATGATATGATGCTTAAATAACACTGAAATTTAGGAAAGGAAGACACCAATCAACACAGATTGAGAATAATAGTCACACAAAATATCAGTACAAGTGAAGATGGGAGGGCATTGAAAAGTAAATGCTGGAAATACATTACTTACATAAGCTAAACGGTTCTTAAAATTCAGATTTGCAATTACTGTTTCCAAAACAATTAGGACAGTCAGGTTCATTCTTGAATAGATGTAGGAAAGGACCTGGAGACAGGTCCCTGGTGGAGCAAATAAATAAAACTCATTTTCATGAGTTTTAGCTTAGTGTACTGTGCTGGATAGCTTTAGTGTCAACTTGACATACCTGGGTTGAGGGAGCCTCAATTGGGGAATGGACTCCATTGGACTGGCCTGTTGCCATGTCTGAGGGCTTCTTCTTGATTGTTGAGTGATGAGGGAGGGCCCAGCCCATGGTGAGTAGCACCACCCCTGGGCAGGTGGGCCTGTGTTGGATAAGAGAGCAAGCTGAGCAGGGGCCAGGGGTGCAAGCCAGTAAACAGCGTTCCTCCATGGCCTGTGCTCCAGCTTCTGCTTCCAGGTTTCTGCCCTGAGTTCCTACCTTGGGCTCCCTAATGAACTGTGACCCGGGAGATGTAAGATAAATAACCCTTTCCTCCCCAAGTTGGTAGTGGTCAGAGTGTTTTGTCACAGCAATGAAGAACAAACTAGGGCATGTACTAAATGCTGTATAATTGCATACTTTCTAGTAAGTTGTATAAAAGCACAAAACACAAATCTGGTCTAGCACCAGATGCTTTTTTGTCTCAACAAACTTGATCCTCTCTCTAAATCTCACAATTATTGAAGTAATTGAATAACAACAATTTAAGTAAATAATGGTAGTATGTATAAGGATTGTGTAGGAGAAACTATAAAACTCATGACCAGTTGTATTTAGTGTCAAAAGTAACTAATCTACACATTATACAGGTCATTATAATCCATAGTTTTAAAATCAGGTTTTTTTTATGGTGCATAGATTTATTACTAACTCATTACATTCAGCTTGACCAATGGCTTAGTGATCCCTGGTAAGAAGCTACTTAACTTAAACCATCAAGATGTATCTTTTGGTATGAGAAGTGAAGGACACATTATGATAAAGCCAAAACTTATTAACATAAATATGATGAAATTTACATAGGAAAGAATATTAGGTAATTGAATCCAGTCATATGAGGAATTCTTACCAGTTTTTTGAAAATTACTAATATGAAACAGAATTGCAAATATGCTGTCAACATATGAAAATGTTAACATTTTTTCAATGTACAAAGTGTTGAAAACAGTTGATCTATAAAAATATGTACAGAAATCTTATTTGGAGAAAATATTAAAAAGTGAAAAATAGTTAAATCCACTTAAGAAAGCTATTTGTTCTTAAGTAGATTATATATATGTATATATAAATAAATAAATAAATATATATATATATATAGAGGGAGAGAGAGAGAGAGAGAGAGAGAGAGAGAGAAAGGAAAATCCCAATTAACAAATTGTTCCAACAACTTTCATCTTGTCTGTGTGTCATCCATGCGTGCATCAGGTATCCTATCACTGTCCTATTTCCTAAAGACAGGGTCTCTCACTAAAACTGGAGCTTGCTCTTTTTCAGCAAGGCTGTTTGGCTAGCAAGTCACAGCAATCTTATTGTCTCTGGTCCCCCACTCCCAGGCATGTTTAGCCATATATGACTTTTTACATGAGTGCTGGGGATCTGAACTCAGATTCTGATGCCTGTGTAGCAAATGCTCTTATTCACTAAGACATCTCCCCAGCCCAATTACCATTTTTTAATTTTACAGGTCCATTAGACACAATTATTTAAGAACTAAATAAAAATTAAGACTACTCACATATTAGAAAGACATTTCAATCACCTATTAATTCAACATTTTAAGTTAAAAGCAGAAAGTTATTACTGAATTTGCAAAAAAGGAAAAGTCAGATTAAATAAGCTCCTACACTACCATTTAAATAAACTTTGGCAAATAATTGCACTACATTTATTTTCAAGACTGAAGTTAGAAATACACAGTTCTACCTAGGAACGTGCCACTGAAAAACACAATACATTTATAAATTTTAGAACACGTCTTTCTGGTTGTGCAATTTCTAAAGCATTCCACACAAATTATTTTATACCAGCGTCTTCACATTAGTTATATTAGCAGGATGTATATACCAGTCTTCTAAGCTATGCTTCAAAAGACAATTCTATTCACATTTATAAGTTTTTTTTTTTCCACAGGGTCTCCCTGTAGCCCCAGCTGTCCTGGAACTCACCATGTAGACCAGGCTGGCCTTGAACTCATTGAGATCCGCCTGCACCTGCCTCCCGAGTGCTGGGATTAACGGCGTGTGCCACCACGCCCAACACATTTACAAGGTTTTGATTGAATTTGTATTTTGATATGTGGGCTAACTGAAGACTTGTAGATTTTCTTCTAATCAAGGTTTCTTGATATAGTGTTATTTTTTGCATATGTGGTATGTATGACTATTTATGTTCATGGGTGCACATATATGCATGCACATGTATTCACTTGCATGTGGAGACCAGAAGTTGATGTCTGATGTTTTCCTCAATCATTCTCCATCTTATTTTTTTTAAATCTTATTTTAAGTGTATGTGTTTTGCCTGCATGTACATAGTGCACCCGTGCTGTGCAATGCCCACAGAGGACAGACGAGGGCATCAGATTCCCTGGAAGTGGAGTTATGGAAAGTTGTTAGCTGCCACGTGAGAGCTGGGACTTGATCTCTCAAACTGGGGTCTTCTGCAAGAACAGCCAGTGCTCTTAACTGCTGAGCCATCTCTCCAGCCCTCCATCTTATTCTTGAGAAGGGTCTCACACTGAACCTGACTAGACTAGTTCTCCAGCAAGCCCCATAGAGTCTCCTGTCCCAGCTCCCCCAGAAGCAGGATTACACATATATGCCACCATGTCTGGGTTTTACATGAGTGCTGAGGATTTAAAATGAGGTCCTCATGCTTGTGTGGCAAGTACCTTACAGAGTGAGCCATCTCCTCACCCCCTTAGTGTGTTCATTTATGACTTGAACCGAGACAAGCAGAGATGGTCCCACATGCTTTACCTAGATATAGTTCCTTCATTATGTCATCATGTTTGCTAGGATGATCTTGCATTAATGGGGCCTTCCTACATT